ATCGATTTTCCATTACGCACTTGCCATTTTAAACCTGAAACCAATAGGTCTCTTCCCCAAAGGATGCTACGCTATCCCCACGACATAGTTTTAGGGGTTGGACACACCAGAAAGTCTTTTCCTTTGGCATATCTAGCCAGGAAAATCTTCGCAAACAGTGAGTCTTTGTTACTGATGATGCGCCATGCCATTTTCGTTAGTAGCGCCTGGTTCATCTCCTTTGCTGCACGGAATCCCAATCGTCCTTGGAATTTCGATTTACATAAATGGTTCCAAGATTTCCAATGGATGCTCCGACCTTCTTTATCTTCACTCCATAAAATTAGCCACCACTTGATCAATTTGTCTGGTGACACTTTGAGGAAGTTTGAAGGCTCCCATCATGTAAATCGGTACTGTTGCTAATGAATGCTTAGCTAAAGTGATCCTTCCTGTCATGCTGAGCGACTTATTTTTCCATGAACTGAGCTTTTTCCTCATTCTCTGTATTATGTCTCCAAAGAGAATCGTCTTCTTCGGCATGAAGTCCAAGGACAAGTCCAGATATTTATGATGGCAGTTTCGGCTTGGAATTTGGAGTCATTGAGACATCCATTCTTTATAAGCGTGCTGCATATTGGGGTTGGCGAAGATCGACGACTTGCTGAAATTTATCTATTGTCCTGATGCTTCAGCATATTGGTTTAGCAGGGCACCCAGAGCCCTTACGTTTCTTCTTGTGGCTTCCATAAAAATCAAACAGTCGTCTGCATACATCAGATGCGACAGTCTTGGTGTTGAACGTCCCAACTTGATCCCAAACCCTATGTTGCTCCAGTCAAAACTTAGCAAAGCTAGAGAAAGGGCTTGTTGACATATTATGAAAAGGTATGGTGAGATAGGACATCCCTGTCTCAGCCCTCTTATAGGAGTGAAATAGTATGATTGCCAACCATTTACACGCATTGAGAAACTAGCTGTTGTGACACAGTTTCTGAGCAAGGTGATAAATAGTGTAGGGAAACCCATCCTTGACATTACTTGCTCAAGAAAGGACCATGATACATATCGTAGGCCTTGCTTATGTCAATATTGATGGCTGCTCGTCCCACTTTTCCTTTTTTCTTTTTTCTGATAAACTCAATGGCTTCATGTGTAAGCAAAATATTTTAGCCTATAGCGACCCGGTACAAACCCATTTTGGCCCTCAGAAATCAAATTAGGTAATATCTCCTTAAGCCGATTCGCTAACACCTTTGCAACTAATTTGTATTTGAAATTACACAAACTAATTGGGCGAAAGTCAGATGGGCTTTTTGAATTACCTGTTTTCGGGATGAAAACAACTTTGGTTTGATTCCACTCGTTCTCCCACTGCTGATGATTTAGAATGTTGAGAATATTTCTTCCGACGCTATCCTTGATAGTTTCCCCGAATCTCTGATAAAAACCTGCTGGAATGCCATATGGGCTTGGCGTTTTCCTAGGAGCCATGTTTTTCAATGCCAGCTCAACCACTTGGAGTGTAAAAGGGCGACTTAATTGATGTTGTTGCTCTAGGGTAATTACTTCTTGGACTAAATCGCTGAGGGGGGACTTGGTTCTGTAAACAAATCTTCATTGGCACAATCCTTGTGTGCGGTCAAGGCAGCTCTAAAGTGATCCAATATCAGTTGTTGGATCTGCTCTTGGAGAAAGAGAAAGAAGAGCTAGAGCGCCTATTGATCTTCCAGAATGATTATTGGTCCCAACGTGCTAAAGTTATTTGGGGTCACAAAGGCGACGGAAACACAAAATACTTTCACCCGGTTTGTGTAAGAGTCTTGTTTGGTGCTTAAAAGAAGCGGGCCATGATCTGATACTGCAATCGGCAGGTTCAAAACGTATGCCTGAGGAAAACGTAGAGACCAATCTTGACTGGCAAAAGCTCGATCTAACCTTTCAACTATATGGTTACTTCCCTTCTGGTTGTTCGACCAAGTGTATTTGTTGCCTCTGAACGGAATTTCCACCGTGTCTAAGTCATTGAGAGGTGCATTCGTCTTTATACACTTCTTTTCTTACTTCCAAAAAATACACTTCTTTTTTTTTTGAATTATCAAAATAACTAAGTTTTCTCTCTGTTCCAAAAAACATAAAATAAAATACTCCCTCCGTCCCATAATTATTGTCTACTTTGCCCAAAAAATTTTGTCCCAAAATTATTGTCCAATTTGACTTTTTATGGATCAAGTTATATATTTGTCCTTAGTAAAAAACATTATCCATAAAATCTTAGTGGTTAAATAATTACTTATGTAGGGGTATATCCGGTAGTTTAAGGTAAAATATAGTTAAGTTTGACCAAAAATAAAATCTTTCATTTTAGTAAAACTGGACAATAATTATGGGATGGAGGGAGTAACCAACATTGAATTTTTAAATATGTACTAAAACTAGTAAAAATCTTAAAAATCAATGTGATGTATTTTTTTAGAAGAGAGATAATATAATACATCCCTCATTTTGTTAGGGACGGAATTTGATCTAAACAAAAACATCTAACTCAACGTCTTAATACCTATGTTGGTGGCTTCCCTGTACTACTAATTTGACAACTTCATATCTTCTACATTAGAGGCTGTCTTTGTGCCGTTGACGCTTTCTTTGATAGCCGAATTACAAAGGGATTAATTAGTATTAGGCGGCGGGGAATCGCAGGTTGATTTTACTTGTTTTTTACTTATTTATTTTTTGGTTTCGCCGAGACTCCTTAGAAAAAAAAAAAAAACATTCTTGTTTTAGGTTGAATGCCGAACAAATTACAACTTAGCATCTTTGACTCTTGTCTTATTCGAGCCATTCTTTCTGAAAAATTCAATTTTCTTGCTGACCTATACCATTTTTTTGATACTGAAATGGGAAATAAGCAACGATGAATCCATCCAAAAAAGACTTTCAATGCAGTCGAAGAACGCAATGAATGAGCTAGAATTTTTTTTTTTTAGTATACTTTTTTCGTCCCACTTTCATAGTTATAATGAAGTGAATTATTAAAAATAAGACAGAGGGAGTAATTTCCTTGTCTGTTTGAAGGAGGATTTTTGGAAAATTACAATCCCTTTTGAATTGATAGCCAGTGGATGATTTGGAGCCACACTAATCCTACTTATTTTCCCACGTTCCTTCGCCTTTAATAAACTGCTATACTCCTGCTGGAAATTGATTCCTCATTGTCTTCTGGCTGTTTGGATGCCACTTCTCTTGGAACTTAATCGAGCTGGGGGTTTCACCTCCAAAACTAAACTCCCTTTTCACTTGAAAAACAAACTGTGGTTTTTTTGAAAAGATAAATGCTAAAAAGAATACGCTACACAAAGAGTTTAGAGAATTCGGTGTCTCACTGGTGACAGAATAATGGGATGGCAATGGATTCAGTTGTTTGCCAAAATGTAAGAGCAAGTGGGTCCTACTATGGATAATTTATTTGTTTGTGGAATAATTAAAATCATATCGAGACAAAGAATAGCTTTAGGCTTGGGGAAGGGAATCAACAGCGATCTTATCTGGCGAATTTTATACTATCTTCACCAAATATGTTTTAATCGTGGATTAGTTGTATCTACGCGTAAGCAAAATGGTGATATAATATGTATAACATCTATACATACTATAACATCTAAGTGAATAGAAAGTCCAATTGCATTCAGGTCAATCAACAACCACCCCTTAAGTTGAGATGGGAAGGGTTAAACAAATATTAGATGGCGAATGGAAGAAAGTACTAGGCTTGACGACACTAGGAGTTTGATAATGTCAGCACAAGCAAGGATGCAAAATCCGGTAGAATCACGGAAAAGCCGGCAATGGCGTGATGGCCTGCAAAGAAGCTAGTACAGCTTTGTGTATATTTGGAGATTTTACACCATACCTACCTCTAACTAAGCTCAGCTACATCAATAATGGTTATAACTTGTGTGTATATATATATATATATATATATATATATATATATATATGCACCAGTACAGCTTTGTGGATATTTAACTGCTATACTGCCAATCGATAGGGGAGGGGAATGACTTTATAACCAGGAGAGAGTTGAAATTTGACTGAGAGGACAAGGTTCAGAAGTATTCTTCTGATGAAACACAAAGGCAGACATTATTGCCACCCTTCCCCATCCATTCCAAGTGAAGAGACATGCCTGATAAGGTGGTACGACACCATATATACTCTACTAAGAACCACATATAAACTGATAATTATGCAACTTTCTCCACTACTCCATCGTACTTAGTCCAAAATTACCACAGGCATTGCAAATAATTTATCGAAGAACATCAAGCATTGATGAAAAAAAAAAAAAAAGACATCTAAGATCAGCAGTAACAAATCACAAGCATGAACAAACCGTTTTCCACACTTGTATTTTCTTTGTGTATCGCTACACGTATCTTCAGCTACTGACAGCAAGCATTGATGGAATATATAACAAGCATCTAAGACCGGAAGTAACAGACAAGCACTAGTAAAACTTCTCTTAAAAAAAAAAAATCCCACATGCATTGCCACACTACCGTTCCCATACTACAGCTTGCTGTCACCATGTACACTGTTTAATCAGCTAGCATAACTAAAAAAAAAGGATAACTTGATTAAAACAGAAATGTATGCACTTCAGTTATTCACAAGAAGGAACTTTGGACATGGTCAGCATGAAATTTCCATGGAAAGTCTCTTTGCACAAATATCAACAAGATTTGAAAATTACAATCCCCATGTGATAAACATGTCTCTTGTAAGCGAACACTCTATCTTAAAATAAAAAGAAAAACTAGTGTTGAAGAATTTGAAACTCAACAGGACAAGGCAATGATATGAGACAAGCCATCAAAATGGAATCAACAAAATAAGTCAAGAAGTTGCAATTGGACACATTATTGATAGGCAAAAACTTCCCAAGTAATTCGCTATTCAAGATGGATGGTATGACCTACATTAGATGGTATCTCACATTAAGCTAACCATCAATTAAAACTCTTCTGCAGTTCTGAGACCATAATGGATAATCAGATTCTTCAAAATAACTTTTTTTCAAATTATAATTCACAAATAACGAGATAGGAACATAAATTCATTCCTCAGAAACAAGCAAAAGGATGTCTTCAGCAATACCACAAAGAGGCGAATCATATCATTAATGGCAGGAGCTCAAAACAAGTATAACCGGCTCTAATAACCAAAGAACGCATATTCTGACATAATCATACACAACCATCGCTATTGAAAATTCCACTCCAATTTTAGTCCACAACCGAAGAAATGCAGTTCATTTACAACCATAAGACTCAGTACTGAATAATATACCCTGGCACAGAATGACAGCACAAGCTATTGTCTTACAGCTACCAACATGTAAACATCCCTCAACTAATGCAAACACCCCTAACCAATTGTAACAAAAAACAATGGAGCACAGATTAAAGCAACCAATCTCACATAACATGTTTATAGGCACAGCCCCTCAGCAGAATACCAAACCATAGATTCTATAAGCAATTAACACAACATTAGAACACTGGTACACACTGCAACCAGCAGAATCAATATGCAGGTCCATCACATCAAATAAAAAGCTAGCACAATTAAACGCAATCAACATCCACCATTCAAGGCAAAGAACGGAGGGAGGTAAGATACATTCGTTCTCAAAATTATGCAGTAATTTAAAACCAAAATCATACACCACCGTCTGGTCATCTCACTTAAGATTAACATCATCAACTACCAGTAATAATAATAATAATAAGCGGGTACACCAAAATCAAAGTAACAACCCGTACAAGGTTCTTATCCGGGTCGGATCTCTGGAAACAAAAAAAAAACAATACTCTCTAGAACCTTAGCTTGGTAAAGAACCAGCGGTTTTTACCGGACTTGAACCTCTCCTCGAAGCGCGACTTGGTTTCCTTAGCGGCGGTGACCTTCTTGTCCCTGGCCTGAAGAACATCGGGAGTGACAACGTCCTTGAGGTCGACGTCGAGGGTATAACGGGTCGGCATGATGTGATTGTAATTGACGAGCTTCACGAAGCATTTAACCCTGGATTTCTTCGCTTGCTTCTTCTGCGAGTCCTTGCGGATCACCTTCTTCGGGTACTTGGAAATTCCGGCCACCAGGCAGTGTCCGTAGGGCCTGTCCCGGGTCCCATCGTCGAAGGACTTGACGATCACAGCTTTCCGGCCGGCGTAACGGCCCTGCAGGAGAATCACGGCTTTGTTTGGCTTCAGAAACTTCACCATTGCTTTTCCTCGGCCGCCTGAAAAACCCTAGCAGTGAATGATACGCATTTCCCACCTCTGTTTCTGTATATATATTCTGAAACCCTAAAATGGATGGGACAAATGGGCTTCTGGGCCCATTAAAGTACGCTAAAGGATTTTGGGCTTTTTGTTGGATGGTTTAGTAGTTAAAGGTATTCCTTCCGTATGCACTTGTTCCTGGGCCTGTCAGCCTCAGCCAGGCTGATTTTCGTTTCCTTTCCTTAATATTTCTTACATTTCTTCTTTCTTTCTTTTTTTCCCCGAAAAAAAAATCTACGTATTTACATCATATATATCTTTTTTTTAGGTGAATCCATGACGATATATATCTATCTAATAACATATTAAATTATAATTCATCACATTATTTAAAATGAATTAATTAAAACAACGTTTTTCTCCTAAACATAAGTCTAATTTTTTAAAAAAATTTTATTAAACAATATACCTTCATAAGAAATTATTTCGGTTAATTTTATTAACTCTAGTTTGTTGCACATTTTCTTTTCTTTTCTTTTTTATTGTTTGAATTTGAGGATAATATTTTATTGACCCATTTTAAAAAGGCAAAAAAAAAAAGTGCAACAAACTTACTTATGTAAACAAATTAAATTAAAGATAATAATATGTGTCCAAAAACCATTCTTCTGATAAGCGTTTTACTCGCACCCAGATTTTCAAAATGACTGAACTGAATCGCATTTTTTTGAATAAGAATGGGAGTGTGGCAGTGAAGTACCTTACTAACCTCAGTTATTAAGTGCAACAAACGTGCAACGTGAATCAAATTTGGTTGAAGGGTAGTAGAGATGTCAAATTAATAAAAAAGATATGATCAAAAAGTAATTTTTATTAAGGGTAGTAAATTACTTGTTAAAAATTGTACAATCAACACACTTCTATTTTTACATAATCATCCTCACTACACTCCCGATTAGGGAAAGCTAAGCTCCTTATCTGATCTTTCCAGATTCAATCATTTCAATAGGACCTCAACTCTCTTAATTAAAAAAGCTATTAGCCAAATCTGATCGAGAACAAAATTTCCTCTTTCTTTCTATTTAATCGAAATTTCACAAGTGACAAGGACAATTATATAAAAATTAATGAAACAAAACTAAAGTTTTATGGGGTGGGCTTCTTGTATATGAATCAGTTCAACGCCCAACAGCATTAGTATCAGAGAGAGAGAGAGATTTTTATGTAGTAGTAGTGAATGATCTCAACATGATTTCAAGACAATCTAATCTACTAATTAATTAGAGTAGCTTCAATAAATAATAAGCAGTTGAATTATTCATAAACCTGAACAAGAATAGAAACAACCATTTTAGCCTCAGAAAAATTTGAATCTTATATTTGTAGCAGTCTTCAAACCCCAGTAGCAACTACTTTGATGAGAAGTTAAACTTTTTTCTTTAAATTTATGGGTTTTCCATTAAAGAGTGTGAATGAAAATTAGCTATGTTAATTAATCCAAGCTTTTCTTGAAATGATGTAATGTTAGAATCTTGAGGAAGAAGGGAAGAAGATTTAATTTTTTTTTTCCTTCCTTTGAAAGAACTATCAAGCTTGCAAAGGGTAATAATGTCATCATAGAATTGTTTTAATTTTATAATTTAAGGCATGTAATTCACTGCCTTTAAAATATTTCATGGTCATACCTTTTTTTATTAATTTGACTAACTCTATTGTCTCTTAGCCAAATTTTCCCAATTAAATAAGAGTCTTTTAGAGTTTTTTTTTTCCGTAAGGTTTTTCTATTCTTCTAAATTATTGTGGAAGTCAGAAATTATTTTATATTCTTTCAATCAAATTCCAGTGGTACTATACTGAATTTTCATGTTGATGGCATCAACATTAGAGATGGGTTTTTGGAGTCGGAAAAAATGCAATTTAGTAACATGATATTGCAAAAATACAAAAAAAAAAAAGTAATAATAATAAGAAAATAATAAGGGATTCTTGAAAAAATTTAGATGTGCCTGGAATACACCATGCATACTGATCAGCAAGTTTTGCTCTTTAAGGTTAAAAAATAAACAATATTTGGTCTCTCTATAAATGATTTCAAAATTATTTAACCATTTTGAAATATTAAATTAAGCATAATTTTCTTTTTATTAGTGCGTTGAGTAAATGTCATACTATTTTTTTGAACTTTTATTTAACGATTTTATTTTATCAAGTTTACTGATTTTGGTTCCATCTATTTATAGTTACTAGAGAAAATATAAAATAGAGAAATAGAGTGTTGTATTATTTTTATGAATTTTGTGTAAAAATAAACATATTAAGTATAAATGTAATATTACTTTTTTTTTTCTCATATATCAAAATAGAATATAGAGAAAAAAAAACTTACGTTATTAAAATATCATAGTACTTTATTTAAACGTTAATCAAATAGAAATCAAATAACTATGAAAGAAAAGAGAGCAAAACCATTTGACAACAAATTACATATCTTGCAACAATTTTATGTAGATTATATTTGTGTGTGTGTGTGTCTATATATACTAGTGATGTCTGGTCGCGCAATGCGCGACCCTGGCCCAGTCTATCTGTAGATCTTAGAAATATTTATATTTGAAAAAAAATAAAATTTTGTATTTGTAGCGATATATTTTAGAAATGTTTGAAGGATTTAGAAATGTTTTATAAGTGTGATCATAGAAATATTTGTATTTCACAAAAAAAAAAAAATTGTATTTCGCCATGTATGTTTTAGAAATGTTTTATAAGTGTTACTTATTAAATATAAATAGCCTTAATCGAATAAATGTGTTGAAGTAAATGTTAGATAAAATATAAAATCATCCTAATAAATTTAAATATTAGTAAGATGATTTATTGATGTTCTGCATTGGTCGTGCCAAATCAATACTTAGTTTTGGTGATTTTTAATTGTTTTGTAATAAGCTTCATCCGAAGGGTATACGCTTAAAACAAAGTTGACACTTTGTAACAAAAACCTAATTGATCAATTCAATTTAAAAAACCACTCTAGTTGAATGAAATATAAAGAAAAAATAAAATAAAAAAAAGTGTCACGTAAAGTGCAAAGAGAAATTTAGTAATTTAGTTATGGTTAGACAAAAGGGCAATTTAGTACTTTCTACATGCCACGTGGCAATCATATGAGGTGTTTGAAACCACTCTAGTTGAATGAAATATAAAGAAAAAATAAAATAAAAAAAAACGTGTCACGTAAAGTGCAAAGAGAAATTTAGTAATTTAGTTATGGTTAGATAAAAGGGCAATTTAGTACTTTCTACATGCCACGTGGCAATCATATGAGGTGTTTAAAAGGGAGGTTTTTGTTTCTAATATAGTAGGATATATATATCGGTGATTAGAAATTTCGATTTGTATCGAAGTAACCCTAGATAAAACAACATATAGACCTCTATCTTAATTAGAGTCCTAGAGTTTTTCTCCTTGGGAAATTCTCTCAAAGAGTTCCGTTACAACTTTGAGTCTTTCATGGAACCTTTTCCATGGATTGTTAATTCTCAATTATACATATCTTCTTATCCGTTTTACTTTTTATCCCATCGTCGCTTTTCCATAACTAGATATATTTCCAATCACCTTCTCCATGATTTTCTGTTCCATAACATCCCATGTATAGGTCTTTTAACGGTTCTTTCTGTGCTTTAGATTAGTATTCTTATCTTACTTCGCTTCTATCTTAAATCATCTTATGCCTAGAATTATTTTGCGTGTTTGTGTTGTATAGTTCGTGTTATAGATTTTTCATATCCTTTGTTGTCTGCGGTGAGTTTTCTCTCTGTTTGTTGTATCAATGGTCACGGAGGAGGAGTTAGAATACATTATTGGGAGGTTGTCACTAAGGGAGAATGAATCCATTAGACAATCTACAAGTTCACTGATAACCACTCACATCGATCCGTTTCTCACCATTGTTGGCAAACTTCATTGTCCAAGGGTGGTGTCTCATGATGCTATTGTTAATCATTGTCAGAACATTTGGTCGGTCCGGCATGGTTCCATAGTAAGGCCACTGGAAGAAAATTTGATCCCTTTCAATTTTAATGATCGAATTGATCAGGCTAGGGTTCTTCATGGTGAGCCATGGCTGTTAGGACGTAAACATCTATTGGTTTTGAAGCCTCATGATAATTTAACTGCGGTTTTAATATGTGTCCTTGGTGGATTCAATTGCACCATTGTCCTATAGATTTGATGAATGAGGAGTTTGTCATTTATGCAGGAAATTTGATTGGTCAATTCATGGAAGTTTATACAGATGCTAATCGTATCTGTATTGGTAGATTTCTTTGCATTAAAGTGAACATCAACATAAAAAAAATCTCTGATGAGGGTTCTTAAGTTTGATCATGGGAGAAAAGAGATTACGATTCCACTAAAGTATGAACGTTTGGCAGAATGGTGTTATCATTATGGAATTATTGGTCACATTGAGAGCAGTTGTCCAACTGAACCAATGGGTACAAGCAGTTCTTTCTCCTCTTCTGAATACAGTAGTTGGCTTAGGGCGACATGCTACTGGAATCCATTTGTTTCCAGATGTTCGGCGCAAGAATCAGATCCGTTTCATGTTCCAGATGGTTCTGATGAAGAAGTTCCTCCTTTCAATGAACGTCAAGCACACCGCATTACTTCCAGACCCATTATCCCTCCACCATCCAACCGCGTTCATACCACTCCTACCTCTACAACTACCGAAACCTCCTCATCACCTTTAGTTTCATCTGCTCCAATACCAAAAAGGAACTTCCACATCTCTTCCGAACCAACCCTTATTCCTCGCTTATAGAAAAATCAAACAGCTCCAACTGCATCTTCTATCTCCCAACCCTCATCCTTGAAATCTTGCCCAGAAAGATCAACACCAAATTTTGCCATAAATATGGAGTCATCCGAAATCTTGTAAGTCACTGTATCTCAAAATTCTAAATCAATTCTTCCCCTCCTCCCAAACACTCATTTCATATCTGTACTTCCCCTGAAGAACGTTGATGAGCAGCTTAAAGTTACCTTTGTACCTTATGTAACCCCTTGTACGAACTCTGAATTTGCCTCCAATGTTTCTGTTTCACCACTTTCTATATCTCCTCATCATTTTCCTTCAAACTTTGAACCTAATTTCATTTCCAATTTTTCTATTTCACCACTTCCTACAGCTCCTCATCATTTCCCTTCAAACTTTGAACCTAAATCCTCTCCTATTATTCCTAAAACTCCCTTTGCTAAACAAAGTACTGTTTTAGCTACAACCTCAACACTCCTCGACCCTTATCTGGTTACGATTCCAATGTCTCTTGATACGCCAACTCAAAAAGTAGCTCGTAAATTCAATACAGCTCAAAAACGTATCCTTCAAAATGCTGCAATAAATGCCCCAGTCACACATACAGGGAAACAAAAATGGTTTGTTGATGAACTTGATGGTTCAGATATTCAAATGATCGATGTTGAAGTTATAGGAAAAAAGCCTCGCTTGGATTGTGTTGTTATTTTAGAAGGTTCTCTTGCAGTTGAGATCTCAATGGATGGTAGAGTGTTGGAGATTGGGTTAAGTCTCCAATACCGCCCAACTGAATGAGTATCTTAAGCTGAAATTGCCGGGGATTGGAGAGTTCCAGGAAATTCGATGGTTTGGGCAAAATTGTCTATGAAAAATCTCTCATCTTGTATTTTTGTGTGAAACTAAAAGAAATCAGTATCAAATACAGAGATTGAAGACCAAATTAAATATGTTTGGAGTGTGTGTGGAGTCAATTGGAAACTCAGGTAGATTGGCCATGTTATGGAAAAAGGAAGTTGTTGTCGATTTGTGGTCCTATTCTGCCAGATATTATTTGGGTTACAGGAATTTATGGGCACCCGGATGTCTCTTTAAAAAGAGAAGCATGGAATCAAATTGCCCACTTTTTGATCCAGAGCAGAAACCCTGGATTTTTTTTTTCGGTGACTTTAATGAAGTGTTTTCTCAAGATGAGTTTGAAGGCTGTCGCTCTCAAGCAAATTGGCAGAACAACCTTCTTAGACACACGATGGATCTTCTTGAAATAATGGATATGGGTTTTGAGGTTACAAGTTTACCTGGCAACGTCTACTTTAACACCCGCAAACTCAACGAGCTCGACTTGATCGATCCACTTGCAATGCAAGGTTTCTCCAGTTATTTCCATGGAGTTCGGTGTCTCATATCCCCATGTTTGTTTCTGATCATGTGCTATTACATATCTAGTTACATGAAAGAGACCCTAATGCTTATGTTCCCAGGTGAAAGAGGTCATTTAGCTTCGAAACTCATTAGGTAAAAGTTGAGGATTGTCAAAGGGTTATTGAGGAGAATTGGAAATCCTGATTTTGATCCACTGGGGGATAAGCTGGAGTAGGTTCAAATCGGTTTGTTGAATTGGAGTAGGCATCATCATTCTGATTTTGAAAAACGAATTGAAGCTCTCAAATATGAATCTCCTTTTACAAAGAGGCTGAATTGATGACCCTCAACGCGTCAAGCTCGGGGAGATGGAAAAGGAGCTAGATTTGTTGTTTGAGAGAGAAAACTTGAAATGGAAGCAGCGTGCCAAACAACATTGGTATCAGGATAGGGATCGGAACACTAAATTTTTCCATTCTTATGCGAATAAGAGAAAATCAGTGAACCATATCTCAGGTCTCAAAGACAATGAGGGTTATCTTTGTGTTGATACTAAGGATGGAAACGATTATAATGGATTATTATGGCACACTTTTTGCTTCATCAAGTCCTCTTGAGTCAGAAATACATCAAGCAGTAGACAGGTTACTCCCTATGGTTTTTGTCTTCTAAAGTTGTTTCTAATTGACTACGTTTCATTTTACCCTCTAAAATTTCAGAATCTCAATCAGCCTTTATACCCAGTCATCTCGTTACGGATACCATCATCTTAGCCTATGAAACTCAGGATCATATGAAAACTCGTTCCAACAGCAAAATCTGATTGATGTCCATTAATCTAGACATGAGTGAAGCCTTTGATAGAGTTGAGTGGAATTGTCTAAAATCAATTTTATTAGCTCTAGTGTTTTGTGAATCTTTTGTTGCACTAATCACTACATGCCTCTCTTCAGTGAGATTCTCTTTCATTTTAAACGAACAACAATTTGGCAATTTGATTCCAGAGAGAGGAATCCATCAAGGTGTTCCTCTATCCCCATACCATTTCATCATATGTTCGGAGGTGTTTTCATGTTTATTACAGGATCTCCAAAGATGTGGCCATATTTAGGAATTCGTGTAAGTCGGATGCTCCAAAGATCTCCCACCTTTTCTTTGTTGACGACACATTGTTGTCTAGCCATGCTACTGAGAATGAATCTTCTTATTTGCAGTGGGCTATTAAGCTACATGAATGTGTTTCGGGGCAACAGATTAATTTGGAGAAATCTGGAATTTTCTTTACCCCCAAGGTCTCGGCAAAGTTTGTAATATGCATCATTTTTGGAATCCTGGAGGTTGATGGCCATGGCAAATATCTCGGTTTCCATCTGTTGTTGGTAAGTGTAAGTGCGAGGTTTTTGCGAGTATCAAAGACAGAGTTTGGCAAACGCTAAAATGTTGGAGTTCGAAGATTTTATCTAGGGTTGGGAAGGAGCTTTTGATTAAATCCATCATTCAAGCGATCGCATCTTATGCCATGTATTGCTTCTTACTACCTGATAATGTGACTGATAAACCACAATCTATGTCCAACAACTACTTTTGGGGGGCTCAGAAGGCAGGAGGAAAATTCATTGGAGTTTCATGGACTTCCATGTCTCATAGTAAACAAGATGGCGGTCTTGGATTCTGGAATATGAAAGTGTTCAACATGGCTATGTCAAGCAGGCCTGACGACTGCTCACATCTCCACACTCATTATTTGCTCGTGTATCATCATTTTCATAAATTTTTGGAGTTGATCTTAGACAGAGACCATCATGGACATGGAGGAGCATTTTGGAAGGTCATAAGGACTTGGAGTGGGCTGCTGAAAGCAAATCAGAAGTGGCGAACAAACCAACATTTGGAAGGATCGATGGATTCCATTAGAGCCTTCTTTTCGGACTTCAGGAACTCATCAATTGCTGCCATCATCATCGAAGGTTTCAGATTTAATTCTTCAGGATCATGTTGAGTAGAATAGGGAGCTCATAAATAGCATCTTTCCCCAACAGAATCATCAGCCATTCTGTCCATGGCTCTACCTCACTTCCGAGCACCTGATCGATGGATTTGGCATCACTTGAAGAACAATTGTCATTCTGTTCGTTCGACTTATTACCAGCTAATGTATTCCTCACATTTCAGCCATCATTCCAGTGCAAATTCCATCATGCCAATTGTCTACATGATCTTCTTTAGAAAAGATCATGGAAACTAAAGCTGCCAAACAGAATTCTCTTGTTTGCTTGGAGGCTTTTGATCTTGTTTGCCCTTTCTATCACCATAACTCTATGAGTAACTGCCTTGTCTTCTTTGACTGCCGTTTTGCTATACAGACGTTCAGATTTGCTAGCCTTTATCATCAAATTCAGCAGCATCTGCATTCAATTAGTGACTTATGGACTAGTGATGAGTGTTAATCTATGCATATTTTTAGACATATAATTTGCCTCTTTGTACTTAGGTGTTTTGTTAATTAGGTTAGGATTTTATGTTTATAGGTTAATTTGGTGACTTTTGGTGATCCAGGGACTTAATTATAAAATCTGTAAAAAAAAAATTTGTCAAAATGTGTCAAATTGGTGAAGTTCTAGGCACAATTGAAAATGACTGATTGGACTGAAGTGCAAGATCAGGCTGAGGTTGAATCCGGCGGGAATCGGAGCTGCTAAAGGCCAAATTCGAGCAAACCTTCAAGGCTAACAAGGAGGGCAAGTGGATGAAGTGATGCTATTGACAAGGGAAGAGGTTGATGTGCCTTAAAACTGAACTAGAGGAACCAAATCCCATCTAGGGATGATTAATTGTAAGGGGGGAAGGTGAAGAAGTATGGGTCTCCTCTCTTTTACTTAAAACCCATCGGGTAAAGAGGATATCAACTCGGCTAAGCAAGATTACTCCCTCCAACCTCTATATAAACCAGCAACATCAGAAGAAGAAAACAACAAGAGTTAGGATAGTAGAAGTTAGAGTTAGCTTAGTTTCAATTAGGAAGAAAACAGAGCATAAGTTTGCAATCAGACTTAGGGATGTCTCTTGGGGAAGTGAGAAGCTGACTCTGCGAAGTCGGCTGCACTTTACCGCACTCCCTGACTTTGTTCTTCCCCTGTTTTTTATCCTTCTTGTTTTAATCATGTGGGAGTTTTTAATTTGTACTTTGATTTCTTTGTGTTTAAGCTTTCTAGCATGTGTAGCTAAATTACTTTCTAGGGTCTAATCTCTCTACTCTAAATAAGTATGTTTTGATTTAGCTCTCGGATGATTTGTGTACGTAATCTTAGAGTTTTCATTATTCTTTTAATTGAATTGACCACTTAACTAATTGTGCTTGTATGTTAGAGGAATCCCGAGAGGAAACTTAACTTAGAACGTCTAAATTTAATCTGTGTCAAGGGGGTAATAGCCCAAGGTTTCAAACAACAACGAGAGTTAGTTGTTTGGCACAAAGCAATCATAAGGGCTTAGGAACTTAATGACTTAGTAGTATTCTGGAGTCAACAACGAGAGTTAGTGGGCTTGTTGCTGCTAGGACTGCTGTTTGGAATAATCGAGAGTGACCTTACAGTGTTATTGTACCTGATTGAACACAGTTTCATACCACAAGATGAGCAATTAAATCAAAACATATGCATATAGAGTAGAAAGGAGGATGGCCCTGGGCTTTTATCACTTTGGCAAGTAAAAAAAATCGCTTGTCCAAGTCTTAATTTAGTTAATACATTACATAACTTGCACTGGATCTCAATTTTCATCTGATATTTCCTGTCTCCGTGGGATCGATCCTTCTTATCACTTTATACAAGTTTTAAGTAGGTATTAATGTATTATCTTGGTGGTCTCGACAACCATCAACTAGAGCAATTATCTTAGAAAACCAATTTACTTCTATTGCTTTCTTTGTGGCTTTGCTTTCAGGAATTTGACAAGCACGTAATTCTTAGCTGTTTAAGCAAAAAAAACTACCTCTTGGTCCGTTTGTGCTTCAAGCTAGCAGGTAGTCCATGAATTCTATACACTTAGCTCTAAGCAGACTACAGATGACCCTAGTCTACAAATATTGCCTGTTTTTCTTTCTCCACCATCAAATGTAGTGAAGGTTTTCTTTGACGGTTCCATTTCCTGCTCTAGAATTGTGCTGGTGTTGATATCTTTATCCAGTCCCTAGATGGTCGTTTTATGCATGGGATGGCACACCAATTCCCAGATGTTGATGACTCCGGCTTGGTGGAGACGTTAGCGTTCAGAGAAGCTTTGTTAATTGTGCCACGAATTCGGTCTATCTAATGTTGCTATCCAAGTAGATTCGTCTATGATCATACTTGCAGCTATGAGTGAAGTTAACAATCCATCTATTTGCTCTCCGGTAGTGGAAGACGTGATTTATATATGTCAAGATTTTCCGGTTAGGCACATCTCATGTATTCAGAGAATAGATAATGTCATTACTCACTCTTTTGCTAAGTTTGGCAAATCAACCCCTGTAATTGAAACTTTATGGAGTGAAGCTCCAAACTTTGTTTCTCAATCCGTGCTTGACCATTTCTAGTAATTTTTAATGAAAGTCTATTTTTCTCCAAAAAAAAAAAGAAGAAGATAAAACAACATATATTTTACTATCAATGAAAATTTGACGTGACCAATATAATTTCACGTGGGAGAGAGGTTATACCTGACTTTCACTCATTGAAAAAAGTTAGGTCTTGTTTGTCCAACACTTGTTTTACCTTTTTGTCTCATTTTACCTCTTAAAACACCTCTCAAATACAAATCCCAATACTATCCAAACAACTTTTTAATTTATCTTTTAAAAAATATTCGAAAAATTATTTTTACACAATTTTCGTCCACCACCACTGGACCACCTCCACCACCACCCGCCACCGTCATCGACGGTCAGACGGTGGCGGTGAAAGAGCTTTGCCTTCCAAAAGAGATCTATCCAGCTCGAATCCTGATTAGTCAGAGCAATGCCTTTGGACACCGGGTACATAATATATCAAAAAGAAAAAAAAAAATCATCATCCTCCATAAATTGCAATCTAGATTGGGGACCGTAGGGCTCAAGGCCATTGTTGGGCCCGTCCTAAACCTTTATTGTATATATATAAGTATTAATTTATGGTAGAGTGCTGATACATGCATACTGAAAAAATTTGCAAGGAATTTTAACAGAAATTGATATGATTTTAACCATCTCCTAAACCTTAAATGTGTAAACTTCAAAATATAAGGTATAAATATAAATGGTTAAGATTCATTCCCTGTAAATTTTTCCTGCACAAATCGTTATACTTTATTGTAATTATGTTTTAATAAAAACAATTTTTTTAGCTTAAGTATGTTGTGTTACATTCATATCTTTCTATTAATTGTGTTGGGCAAACAAGAAATTTGGGTTAAGCAGGCTAAAAATAATCCAAATTCAAATAAATTATTTTATTTAATTACAAAATTAAATCAGGGTTGCAAAATATTACACGCAGAGTTGCATAATATACCTTATATAGAAACAACTTATTCCGTACACTTGATCACTATAGATAACTTTTTTATGCAGACAAAAGGGGCAATGGATAGATCCTCATCCTCCATAAATTGCAATCTAGGTTATGCATATCAATCACAAAGTTTCATACCAAAACCACAAAAAGGTACAAGAAATACAGCTCTACTGGAAATGAGGTCCGTAGAAAGAAGAAGGGGAAAAAGCATTATAAGAAAAATCAATTGTTTCCGGATTCTGGTCCCTTCTCTCTCGCAACCTCCTCAAACATCAAAACAATGACGGTATTTATGTTGCATTCATCCCTTGCCAATTGTTCATAGAGTTTCTCAGCCCAATCAACGAGGTTACTCCAGCTGCTTGGTGAGTTTGCCGAAGTTAATTAATAGCGGGGATGTCGACCGCAAGCCTACGGTCCATGCGACGAGAAAAGGTATAATAAGTATGTTAGTCATTAATTTAATTTGATTCAATCCATCAATATTGTGAACACTCTCTATGCTAATTTTCTAATTCATTTTGCTGAATTAAACTAATAAGACAAAATACACTATTAAAATAAGAATGAGGGGGTGATCATTTGATGACATCTTCATTCTTTTTTCATATTTCTATTTATATATTTTCTCTTTGTACCCAAAAAAAAAAAAAAAGAGTTTAGTCTTGTTTCTCCATTATATGCTCATAAAAAAGAGGGTGTTGATTAGAAAAAAGTTTTGATTTTGACATTGAAATACTACTACATTAATGATCATGACCATAAGTTTGTTCTATATTTTATTTCTGTTTTATTAAACTAAATATTGTAACAAAGTGACAAATTATTAAAATGTGATGGAAATGTTATTCCAGCAATGGATAATTGGATATATGGTTCTCATTATATATATTTTTTCTAGATCTATTGTGGCCCCTGGACATCTTCATGTACAGAATACAGTGCCATAGGCTAAAGGTCTTATGATCTTATCAAAATTGTATTTAATTCGAGGCTTCATATGTATTTGGATTTTCATGTCCAAACTATCGTTTTCATTATATACTCGGTTAAAGGAATTTATTATGGGTTTCAAATTGTTGTTACAATGTTTTGAGTTCGGATTATTATCTTTCTACACAAACATCAAAATCTGAATATATGATGAGGGAAAAAATAAAATAAAATTTGTTTCCTCGAGAAAAGAATTCGCATGTGAGATTCATCCTACTAGGCTCTTAAGCTCCATGGGAGTGTCACCTTCTCCTTCCTGGTACTTCCTGGCACTTTTGGTTACTTTGGAAAAACAAATAAACAAGCAAGCCAGACAATGCCAGTTAGCCCTTCGAACGTCTGAAAGTTCCGGTCGGTGGCTAAGAAACAAAGGCAAATATTTCCTAATCACGGAAACAGACCATTGCAACACCGATAGCCATGGCATTGAAATAAATTTGAATTAGATCTGCTTTTAATTTGCGTCTCAATTAGTTCCCATTTCATATTCCCATTTGTTATCCGAATTGGATCAAAACAAATATTTAAAAAAAAAAAAAACGCACTTCTAATTACAAGGGAAGAAAAGAAAAGTTCATTAATTACGAGATGCAACCCAATTAACCCGTCTACTGGACTTTATCTAGAACTACTAGAACCAGCACCCGTGTCAACTTATTGATGAAGATACAAAACAGAAAGGAAAGGTCCTTCCTTAAAAGCAAAAACAAAGAAAAAAGAAAAAGTTAAAGGAAACTACTACTTGAAAAGACAAAAGCTAGCTAGGTTGACAACGGATGCAAAGCTAGATGGACTAGATTGCTATAGTTCACAAGAGAGAATCAACCGGTGGTCTTGTACTTGGATTCATCGATCTCGATTCCTTCCTCGGAAGCACGTTCCTCGCCAGACTTGTCGCCAGTGCTCAGGCCACCCTTTTTCCCCATCTCCTTATACCCTTCAGTCCCGAGTTGCTCTTTCCTTGTTTGCCCTCCTTTGCTCCTTCCTGCATTATTATTTTTATTATTATTGCATCCATTTTTTTTTCTTCCCTCAAATATGCAACCATAATTATGATTACAAGAAAAAACCTATAAATATAAAATATTTTCACATATATAAAAATGACCTTCAGCAAGGTGTTCTTGAGCTTCAAGGCTTTTGCCACCAGTACCACCTGGCACAACCGTCTCTCCTTCCCTAGCCCTTCTGTCCAGCTCTGACCTATCTTGCTCCGAAGCCATTTGTTGCTTGTTTCTTTTTAAACGTTAAAATTTTTTATCTGTTTCTAAGACTTCTCTCTATCTCACCAATATGACCAAAAAAAGTGTAAAGAAAGCTTTTGTAGTTATCTTGCTCCTTGATGGGATCAGGAAGCTGAACAGGGCATATATATATTTATACGGTGAAAGTTTTAGAATTGAGCAGTCTGGATCATTTTCTTTCTTTTGTAAAGGTTCTGAGTTATTCTGATGACACGAGTTTGCTTACGTGGAGGATGATTGATGACGAAAAGCTCCCACGCAACCATGGTGAATCTTTTGGTTTCTTGACACGTATGAACTACCGCTAGGATGTGTGAAGAGTTGTCCTGAAACTTTTTCTTCGTGCTTATAGAGGGAGAGGACCGTCTCATGGCAAAATGATTAACTCGGATGGTATAGCTCAAAAAAAAAAATAATAATAAAAAAAAATCCATCTATATTGAAATTTACTATGAAAGCCAGCTCTAAAGAACTTGTTACAGCAGAGTCGTACATGAACCCTCAATTTTATAGTCAAAATTTGTCATTTCAAAATTGTTTAAGTTGGTTTACTTCTCAATGTAATTTATAGGCCATTGAAAATAATGTAGGTTTATTCAGTTGCAGTACCCGGCTATTACAAATAATTTAGACTATTTGTTTAAAATAGAGAGAATATTTCATTTCACAACAACCATTATTTTAGTGTTTTTTTTAAAAAAATAATTGATTTGTCCATTATTATTCATTGCGCAATGGTTAGCATAAATAATGCGGGAAATAATGTGTATGGTTGGAGTTAATAAGAATTTACTTTGCTCAAAAAACGGGGAAAAAAAAATCAAGGTTTTGTATAGGTGGAAATTCGTTGTTTTCGTTTCCGGACAATGCTTGTTATCATTTCAATAAAGTTTATTTTATGTTTAGATAATTAAAACGCAAGCGCGCGCACACAAAAAATTGTGATATTTTCCCCATGAAGCAAATCAAGTCCGTGGAGTTGGAATAAAGGCTTTAGCCAATCGACATGTTCCTCTTATCACCCACTTAATGTACGTAGATGATAGTTTTGTTTTTCTTTTTCCTGGAATGCCGGGAAGGGGCTATAAAGGCGCCTTTGGCCAGTGCATTCAGTCGATCGGTACCTTCAAGTTTTCATGCCAATCAATAAATTTAGGAAAATCCTCTTTTTTTGTTGAGTCCTTGTTGAAGTCATATTTATCTCATGTGTTAATTATCTTATATTTGAATATTGTAATACTTATCATTAGTTAGTTAGTTATTAAGAGGTTATCTCTTTGTTATACTTGTATTATATATACAGACATCATCCCTGTAATCAGACAATGAATGACATCAGTACCTTCATTTTCCAGATTCTCTGAGGTTTTAACTTGGTATCCAAAGCAATTTTTTTTTCCTGGCCTTCTTTCTTTCTCATCATGACAAACGATTCTGAGGTTTCGTCCAATTCTGATTCTGTTCGGACTTCATCCGCCCCTCTCTTCTCTTTTTCTCCGAATCTATCCTCCTTCAATCAGTCTTTTGTCATCAAATTGCAGTCCCGTGAAAATTATACTGTGTGGAAGTTTTAATTCACTCCTCTTCTCAACATGCTCAATTTATCATCCATTGTTGATGGCTCTGAATTGTCTCCTCCTCAGATGATCCCAATCCAAATACCTCTCTTATGGAGGTCAATCCTGCCTTTACTCAATGGCAGCAGAAAGATCAACATCTGTTTTCATGGATTCTGTCTTCGATCTCTGAAGGCATTTACCCTATTCTTCAGGGTGTTTCTACTTCTGCTCAAGCATGGAAAACTCTTGCTGACAGTTATGGCACGCTTTCTTATGCTAAACCAACTCAACTTATTCTTGAGCTTCATAATCTCTCGAAAGATGACATGTCGGTTTTGGTTTTTCTCCACAAAGCTAAATCCATTGCTGATTCCTTAGCCATGGCTGGTCATGTCATATCTTCTGCTGAGTTTAATGCCATTATTTTTTGCAAGCTTGGTTCTGATTATAATGGAATCATTGGGGCACTTCAACAGAGATCCGATCCAGGGAGTTTTCAAGATCTTCATGGTCAACTTGTCTCGTATGAGTTGCTGTTGAAAGCTCAACAACCAACACTCCCTCCGGCTGCGAATATTGTCCAAGCACCACAAGCTCCCCCTGCTGACTCTAAATCCACTCGCGATGGCCGTGGTCAATTTCGTGGTGGTCGCAACAATCGCAGTGGTCGCAGAGGTCGTCGTGGTTACGACAATGGTCCTTCTTCTTCTTCCAGTTTGCTGTGTCAGCTTTGCAATTATGCTAATCACATCGTCGCTACTTGTCGACGTCGGTTTGATCCCACATTCATGCCTCGTGCTGCTCCTTCATCAGCGCCTTCTGATGGTCTTTTGCCTACACCAAATCATCAGGCTCATGTCGCCGCCTACAACCCTACTTCTCCATGGTATCCCGACACCGGTGCAACTCATCATGCCACTCCCGATCTTGCTTCTCTGAGTACCGCCAACGATTACCAAGGTAACGATCATCTTACTGTTGGAAATGGTCAAAATCTTCCTATTAAACATGTTGGTCGGTCCTTTATTCCTTCTGGTGCTAAACCCCTTTATTTGCAAAATATTCTTCATGTGCCGTCTCTTACTAAGCCTTTACTTTCTGTTCAACAATTCTGTCGTGATAATAATTGTTTCTTTGAGTTTCATCCTTTCTCTTGTTGTGTTAAGGATCTTTCCAGCGGAACGACTCTACTCCAAGGGCGGACTGAATCCGGTCTTTATCGATTGGATCTAGGGCATGGTAACCATTCTTCTTCTCCACAAGCAGCGGCATATTTAGCTTCCTTAGGTCAATGGCATGCCCGTTTAGGGCATCTTCATAATAAAACTTTAAGGTCTTTAATCAGTCAATTTCAACGTCCGCATTCTTCCAAATCTACTTCCACTGATAAGTGTGAAGCTTGTTGTTTAGGAAAGTCTCGTCGGGTTAGTCTGCATTCTACTTTTCATCGTAGTAGTCGACCTTTAGATTTGATTCATATAGATGTTTGGGGTCCTGATCCCCTGCTTTCAATGAATGGTTATCGCTATTTTGTTTTATTTATTGATGATTTCTCCCTATTCACTTGGTTTTTTCCCATTAAAAATAAAAGTGACGTTCTTCCTATATTCAAACAATTCGAAACACTTGCTGAAAATCAATTTCAGACCACCATTAAGAGTGTCAATTCTGACTGGGGAGGTGAATATCGTTCACTTCTTACATTTTTTAAGAAGTTGGCATCCTCCATCGGGTTGCTTGTCCACACAGTCACGAGCAAAACGGTACAGCCGAAAGGAAAATCCGTCACATTGTCAATACCGGCCTTGCTCTTCTTGGTCATTGCGGTTCCCCGTTTAAGTATTGGGAATTTGCATTTGAAACATCCGTCTTTCTAATAAATAGACTTTCATCCACTTCTCTTCAAGGAAAAATCCCTTCACTGTTCTTTATAAAAAAAATCCAGATTACACTTTTTTAAAGGTTTTTGGATGTGCGGTCTATCCATTGCTCCGTCCATATAATAAACACAAGTTTTCATTCCGATCAACAAAATGTGTTTTTCTCGGCTATTCTCCTCTCCATTTAGGTTATCGTTGCTTAGGTATTTCATCTAATAAAATGTATATTGCTCATCATGTACAATTTGATGAGTCCTTTTTTCCATTTAAAAATTCTTCTTTTATAGGTCATCCCTCTTCGCCGCTTGCTGCAAATTCTCCCTCTCCGTGGTTGCAAATTTCTTGCCCAATTCCATCCTATTCCAATACTAACTCCTCTAATCGTATATCTCCTAGTTTTACTACTCCTCCGCTTTCACCTCACAATAGTCCTCCTTCACTTTGGCATCCCTCTTCGTTGCCATCATCTCTTCCTGACATCTCTCCCAATCCTGATCAACTTAAATCTCCTTCTTCTATGCCAAATACAAACCCTAACATAGTCACTTCCTCGCCTGGTAACTCTTTGTCATCTCAGCCTTCTTCTCCTTCCTCCTCTCCTTCCAAAACCCTAATTCATGATCCATCTACCTCTTCTGGTCTCAAACTCGTTGTCGACCTTGATCAACCTGTTCCTCTGCCTTGCACCCATACCATGACTTTACGTCCATCAACCTTATCCAAAACAAAATTTGCGCATACTTCTTCTCTCTCGTCATCTCTCCCTTCCACTCCCACTTCCTTCTCCCAAGCCAAAATGCTTCCCTCTTGGCAAACAGCCATGAAACAAGAATTTGAAGCCCACCTGGACATTGGTTCCACTTCCTCCTTCCGGCAATGTTATCGGTAATCATTGGTTCTACAAGATCAAAACACATCCTGATGGTACAGTTGAGCGTTACAATGCTCGACTTGTGGCTCGTGGGTTCACTCAGGCTTATGGTGTCGATTACACCGACACTTTCAGTCCAGTCATCAAACCCAACACCATTCGCACTGTTCTTGCGGTTACGGTATCATACAACTGGCCGATTTCACAACTTGATGTGAGCAATGCTTTCCTTAATGGCACTCTGAATGAAACAGTCTACATGGTTCAACCTCAAGGCTTTGTCGATCCCAAGCGACCTCACTATGTTTGCAAACTCAATAAGTCATTGTACGGACTTAAACAGGCACCAAGAGTGTGGTTCTCCCGCTTAGCAGCGTTTCTTTGTTCCTTGGGATTTCGGTCTTCAAGATGTGATCCTTCTCTATTTGTTTTCAAGAATACTAACGTTGTATGCTTCTTGTCAGTTTATGTCGACGATATAATTCTTACAGGGAATTCAAAGGCGATTGTTCAACATTTTATTCATGGCATTGCTCATGAATTCTCCATCCGGGATCTTGGTGCCCTTAACTACTTTCTTGGAGTTGAAGTTCAGCGTACCGCTAGTGGCTTGTATCTCTCTCAAAAAAAATATTTGACTGATCTTCTCAAAATGACCAACATGAGTTCTTGTAAATCTGTCAACACTCCAATGCAGGCTGGAACTCCACCTTCCAAACTTGATGGCGCTCTTCTATCTCCTACAGATTCTACTCTTTTTTTGGTGTTTATGTGGCAGCTTACAGTATGCAACGTTAACACGACCGGACATTTGTTTTGCTG